AGCATTAATAACCATCTTGGGGCCTAACGACAAAATCTTTTTCCTGTGAGATTTGCTCTGAAGTGTGAGTCCTGAGAGACCTCGTTACAACCACAAGGATGACATAGGCGTGGGCTTACTGAGCTATAATTAAGCAAAGTGATACATTCTCTCCACATAACTCAGCCAAACATTTTGTTCTCTATATAATGACACAGTACAATAACCTGGGACAAGTGATTTCTCTGATTTGTTTCATTTGATGTGGCAACAAGGTTTTTAAAATCACAATGACCTATGGAAATAGCTATCAGCCAATGAAGTATCATCTCAATTTTTACTGATTTCTTTTTTTAAAAAAGCCTTAACAGTTGGACAACTTGATTTTCAGTTGGCCATACATCATCATGATATAGCATGTTATATGGTTCCTTCCTTCTCTAAAATTCTTTGGAATGACCTAGAAACTCAACCAGCGGGCTTCCCTGAAATGTTGATCAAGGTCTGGTTCAAAACCTGAGAAAATATTTAATGGATCACTTGAGTATTTGAAAGAAAGACATCATTTAGTATTTACATGGAATGTTAAGAAGTAACAGTGAACATGAAGTGCTAAATTAGAAAATGACGGTGTCTTTTGAAACACTATAAAAAATGTTCTGATCCGAGCAAAGAGATAGCCAAGTGCTAAACCTCTTGGTCCCATTAACATAAGGCCTAAAAATGGAAGTTCCATTTGACCCAGCTATACATCTCTCGAGTATATTCTTGAAAGAGTTAAAGTCATCATATAGTAGTGATATATGCATATCTATGTTTATAGCAGCACAGTTCAGAATAGCTAAGCTATGGAAATGCCCATCAACAGACAAATGAATAAAGAAAATGTAGTATTTCATTGTAACATATATGTATTATATACCTGATATACATCACGGTTATATACACGTATATATTTCAGCCATAAAGAATGATTGGAAAGAGGTGTTGGCAGGAGAATGGAAGGCTCTTGAGCCCAAAATTCTAAGTGAAATCTTAGACAGAGTTAAACATTGCATGGTTTCTTTCATAGGAGAAACCTAAGATATAAATAAAAAGTAAAATAAGTGACCGTGAATAGTAAACAGGGAGGCAGACTTTTTGAAGATGGGTAAGGGGTGGGAGGAATGGGCTAGATATGACTTGTATGTACCAACTCCACTGAACAAATGTAAATATTATGTATCACAATGCTGTCCTCTTGGAAAATCACTGTTACTTTTTAAAGGCTCTGGTGACTCCTGCAATGTGACTTTGAAGACTGGTCTTTGTCTTCCATTTTTTTGAAGTCTCAAAGCAAATTCCCACCTTACGTTTCCTTCAGTAAATCATGCCATCCTTTTCTCATCTGCCTCCTTGGTTGCATTTGAACCTACATTCCTTACTCATTTGCTTTTTTGTATCTAAAGAAAAGAAATGTCCCACTGGGAGAGTTTTAGTTGTACAAAAGACAAGTAAATCTTGTGGCAAGCAAAGAAACCTCTCAAGGGTGAGGAGGAAGCAGAAAGCACCACAGGTTTGAAACTTTTTTTCCCTTCTTTTTGTAATTAGCCATCAGTGGGAGTTTGCAAGATGAGCTAGTTCTGGGCTCCTTTATGAATTTCTGAAATACAAATGGTTCCCAGGCACTATTTTCAGAGCTGTGCTGACACTTGTTAATACTGTTGGTGTAGAAAGTCGTGCTCATTTTAAACTAATATAGACACAAAGAAAATTAGTGATAGGTTGCCTGAAAAGAAAAAGAGACATACTATGTTAGTTTCAGAGAAACTGTTACAAGTTAGGGGTAGAGTCAAAAAGGGTCCTTTTCTGTCAGCTCCAAATACTACGAAAAAGTGAAAAATTCAGGTAGAAATCTTACATTCTTTCCCTTCTGATGAGTTTAACTGCAACTTGCCCCTGCATAAGGCTGAATAAATTTAGCTGGTCCCTGGTACCCCAACCTCACTGCAATGAAGTCTCTACAACTGGCTGAACTTTGGAAATATAGTAAAGACCTTAATACTGCTTGGCTTTAAAAAAACGATTGTCCTCAAGCACAGTGTGGGGTTTTAACTGGATTTTGAAACAAGAAATGTCATTACAAAAAAATCTAATGAGGTCTGCAGAAAGTCTGTAGTTTTGTTAATGTTAGCTTCTTGGTTTTGATAAATGTACCATGATCATGGAAGAAGTTAATGAAAACTGGATAAAAGGTACATGGGAACTCTCTGATTCATCTTTACACTGTCCCATAAATCTAAAATATTTCCAAATAATTACTCTGATGAAATGATGCCTCATTAGTGGATGTGACCTCTGCTCTGGGGCATTCCTATCTACACATCTCTCTAGACCACCAGGCAGGTGCCAGGACAACACAACCAGGAAGGGGATGCATCTGTCCTAGAGTAAGGCTGCGGGCACACAAACTGTGCCTGACTGCTATCTCCTTTGATGAACTAGGCAGAAAAGCAGAACCCTGGTAAAACGCATGAAATAAACTCAAACTAAAGCAGGTCGGATGGGCCCATTATCTGCATTAGTCATTTGCTCTCTCAATGGAGAGTGACTACAATTTTCCCAGACTTTCACTTGATTTGCTGTACATTTTATTCACTACTAATAATGGAAGATTCACTGCTGCAATCAAGAGTCAACAGTATAATTCCAAATTTTAGATATCTTTCTTTAGGTTCAGGGCCTTTATTGTTTTTACATGTATTTGAAATTTTATGTATACTAGATAAGGAATGTTGAAATTTTGGTTCTTAGGATAATTCTGTTAAGTGTGTATATCACATCTTTTCCCATGAATTTCTTAAAGTATAATTTTTTTCTTAAACCCAGAAACACTTATACTTTCAGAGAAACACATATTGGCCTCTACATAGTGAATTTCTTTTGCCAGTCAGTCTTGGCACAATTGTGCACCATTACTTCATGCATAAATATAAAAAGCTCTCTAGGGGTTTCTTGAAGGATGGTGGAAGAAAAGATTTAGAATGGGACTTCCTTTCTCAGTGCTGAGGCTCAACACTCCACCACTAAGTCACACCCCCAGCCTGGAAGTGACTTCCGTCAGACCTTGAAAGAGTCGCTCAGTACTTCTACATTCCAGTTTAGCCACTTCAGATAAGCATTTCAAAAACCTCTGGTCCAGTGGGGCTGAAATCTTAATGAGAAACTCTGTAAGACATTCAGAATTGTTTTAGGGAGAAGAGGATACTTTATGTATTTTTGTGATGCTGAGGATCAAACTCTGGAGTGCTCTACTGAGCTATAACCTCAGCCCTTCCTATCTACCTATATAATTTACAGTCAGGATCTTGCTAAGTTGCCCAGATGGGACTTGAACTTGCAATCTTCCTTCTTCAGCTTACCTCAATGATTATAGGTATGCATTAGCATTCCTGGCTTGGAATTTTTTTTTTTCCTTTTCCTTTTCCTTTTATCGGTACCGGGAATTGAACTCATGACCACACACTTGCAAGGCAGGCACTTATGCCACTGAGCTAAATCCCCAACCCCTAGAATTTTTATTTAAAATAAGAAAGATGCCTTCCGTGTAGAAGCAATAAAACAATCGATTGCACAATCACTGGGGTAAAAACAGACATTTAAGCAAATAGTTCTGGGATGACTAGATAGTATTTTTCTCTCAGATATAAGGGTTTTCAGCATAGAATGAACAGAATCTGATTTCTGAACAAAACCCTCTGGCTGCTCTGGTGACAAGAGTTTTAAGCAGGAGTAGAAAGTGAAAATGCAGGAGGCAGCCAGGAGGTGACTGTAACAATCCAGAAAAAAAAATGTTGAGAGCCTAGACCCAAGGACATTATAGTTGGTCAGACTTTTCTTTTTTTTTTTTTTAGGTTTTTAAAGACAGGGTTTCATTAGTAGTCCAGGCTGGCCTGGAATTTATGATTCTTCTATCTCAGTTTCCTGAGTGCTGGGATTACAGGTGTGCACCACCATGCCTAACTTTTCAGATTCTTCAAACAATTCAAGGTTGGTCCAAAACATATGGAGAGAAAGAGAAGTTCAGCAAGGATATTAAGGGTTTTGTCCTGATAAACAAGAAAAGATGGTATTGTCATCAATGAAGATGGGAAAGGTCACAAGGATAAGCTAGGGGTAACAATGGAGTTCTCTGAAATAGAAACACCAAATAGTTGGCTGAATCAAAGTCTCGAATTGGATGGAAAGCTGAGCTAGAGATTTGAATCTGGGAGTCATCAGCATACAGAGATCCAAAGGGCATGGGGACGCATTCCTACAACCCAGCTACTGGGCTCAGACAGGAGGGTCATAAATTCAAGGTCAGTCTGGGCAATTTAGCAAGATCCTGACTCAAAAGCAAAATAAAAAAGGGTGGAGGATGTAGCTCAGTCATAGAGTACTTGCCTAGCATGCCTGAGGCTATGGATTCAATTACTAGTATCATATCAAAGAAGATGAAGAGGGATTCAAGGACTAACCCAGGAGCTGCTCAAAGCTGAAAGGTCAGGGAGAGCAGGAAGAGCTCGTGGAGAAGAGCAAGGCTCGTCCCACTCCCTGCAGTCCAGACTCCCTGGAAAAACCTGCATTCAGTAAGGTCTTCCGCCTACAGTTATGTGGAAACAGAGTTCTTAAGAGGAAAGGCACATGTTTACTCCCTGGATTTTAGCAGCAAGTTAGTGTCTGAGTCAATTTGTTAACCTCTTTTTGAAAAATATCTCTTTGAAGAGATCAAACAGTAATCCAAGAAAAGTGACTTGGGAGCGTGGCACAGGAGGGGATGGTTTGACAAGCTTGAAGGCAGATATGTAACTAAAGTGGATCAGAAGCTACATGTATTCAAAATTTCAAATGGAATAAATTCTATACATGCACACCCTCATATTCCTTAAAAGCATATAGTTCCTGATGAAAAAAATTTTGAGGAAGAAAAAAATGGCAGTAGCCACTTTTGGACTATCTTTAAATATAAAAATATCTGTGAAAATAAAGATGCCAGAAGCTAAATAATATGCTTTTATTACTCTAAAAATGGTTTCTTGGATGTTAACTATACATAATATTGGGACAATAACAGAAGTCTCATTTTCCTAGGATACAGCATATCCCAACAAAGAATGCATCTCAGATTTATGTGTAGTGTATAAATAAAAGAGCAGTTGCTAAAACATGGGTTTATTTGGGCACTATTGTCAAATATAATCAAAGACAAAATCCTCTGATAGCTTTGCTGATCATCTGCAGTACAAGAGTTACAAAAATAGTACTGGTACAGAATGCACTCATAGGCAAAGCTGATGATTTATATAGTAATAAAATCAAATTGTAAAAACAATTCCATTTTAAAACAGGCATTTTAAAAAGCATTTTCTGTCATTCTAGGTTTATATCAATATACCTGTGTAATTCAAAAACCCAAATCCTACTATAATTTCCAACAACAGAGGTAATTTTTGTCAGTTGTGAGGTGTTGGGAGGGGAGCAACGTATGTACAAAACTGCCCACTGGACAGTCCAGCAGGTCCCAAGGAATGCTCTTTCTTATTCAGCGTGGGTTTCCTCCTCGCTCTTTTCAGAAGAGTTTTATGCTTGCTTACATAGATTTCAATTAATGGTCAGGGATCTTCTATGAATGCAATAATGTTCCAGAATTTCCTAATGAAAAAAAAATATATATAACCAAGACTTTTAGCTACTTAACATTTGCCATATTGTTTCTCACTTAAGGCTCCAGTTCTGATTTCCAGATGTAACAAGGGCTGGTTAACACCCTTTAATAACTACTTTACAATTCCAAGTGAGTCCCTGACAGCTTTCCTAGAACAGAATGGAATAAGTGTGTGGATGCTCTAAAGATTGCAGAGACAAATACAAGCTCAATTTAACCACTTCTCCAGGCAGAATGCAGTGATGTGATTCCAATCGAAAAAGCCCTGATCTCAGAGTAGAAAAGTAATTTCTTCTCTTTTCTGCCATGTCATGCATTTGCCTTCCATTCTCTCCGCTCCTCTTTTTGATGACTGTTTTTGGAAATTAGGGTAACTCCCTGCAGGTGAATAGGAGAGCTTTGTTAGTCAGGCAAGTACCAGGAGGTGCTAGTCTTTGTTTAAGCATGAGGAACATGAGGCAAAAAGCTCAAGAGAACATTTTGTGAACAGGCAATGGTGACCCACTTTGTACCTGTCCTTTGCAGCTAGTGACACTGGACATGTGAGGTGGTCTAAACTCCCAGACACAAGAATACCAGCTCCAACTCAATTGCGAATGTGTATGTCACTGAACCTTATTTAGGACAGACTTTGATTTCTCTTTAACTGTGTATTCTTAGGTCAGAAGGCCTGGGCTGTGGGTTAGCAGGATAGGACAGTCCCAGTCAATTAGAGAACCAGAGGCATCAGGACATCCTGTCCCAACAAGATGGTCTCAACACATGAGATTGCTACAGGTTATAGTCGGGGAAACATGACACAATTTGGTCTTAAACAAGGTCAAATAGGTCTTTATCAAGGACACGTGAGACATAAGGCCACCTGGAGCAATTCTGTGTTCTTCTGGCCTTCAGTCTTCCATGTCAATGAATCTTCTCTTCTTATAATTCTGAACAAGGCTGGAAGCTGTGATCTGGGAGGCCTGCCCCTTTTCCCAACACTGAAAGTCATTCAGTCCTTTTTGCCCAGTTTGAAATAAGCCTCTTTCCATCTCATCCAGCCTGGCCACCAGGGCTGAAGTGTCTTCATTGTAAGCATTCTGAGAGGAGTCCATGATGCGGCGAAAACGTCCAATAAATGTCTGAAGAAGGGAGTAAGTAAAGTCAAGGTTGATCTCACATCTAACAAAGCCATATTCATTTTTATCTTGGAATATTTAAATGGCATGAAAGAATTTTGGTCTTAGGACTCAGGAGGAGAGCGGAGTGCCCTGTACCATGAAGACTGCCAAGTCTCAGTTACCGTGACTGTGAAACGGTCTGTTATGGGCTCTAATGGTTGTTATGTAAAGCCCTGGCAGTGGCTCGCACATAATAGACTTGCTGGAAAGCATTACCCATTACTGTCAAGCAACAAAGGTTATAATAATGGTCTGTATTCCCAGGGTAACAACTTCAACCAGAACAGATTCCTGATTTAACTGCAGTTTCTATTTACCTCAGTTTGAGAGCAAGATGGAGACACATGAGAGCTCCTCATTTTACCACTAGGCTTTGAGTACAAACTACAACCCTCTGCTTTTGTTTCTTCCACTGTCTCATGGAAAGTGATCTTATCCATAAACAACTCTAAAGTACTTGAAAGCAAAAAAAAAAAAAAAAAAAAAAACCCATACAGCTCACTAAAAACATAAGACTCTACTTGAACATGTTCTGGGACACTGTAAGATAAATGGGTTTTTTTTTGTTTTTTTTTTTTTTTTTTTGTGTCCCTGGGTGGGTACGAAGTTTTCCTCATTTTTAACCTTCTGTGCCAAAAAGCTTCATAAAAGTTGAGTTCAAGTTTATAAACTGTCTCTATAAACTATCCATATATGGATTTCCTTTCTTTTTCTAAATGGACAGCAATGTTTTTCTTTACTACCTACATTAAAAGCAGCACTAGTAAATGGTGGGCCAAAGAACGATGAAGCCTAAAGGAGGATGTCAGTTTTAGCACAGGATACTTTTAAAACAAAGATTGCAGAAGTAAAGCCTTTCAGCTGTTTATGTCCAAGGAGGCAGAAAGAGTGGTTTCTCCTAATGTTAACAGAATAAAAAATAATTGTAAGGAGTTAAAATAAAGTTAACACTGAAAAATAATTAGTTATTGCTTATTCAATGTATTAAATAGAACTACATGGTTTTCACAACTCTATAATTTTGATGCTGTTATTCCTTCCATATTCCTGGGAAGAATTCACGTCTACAGTGTGTAGTAGACTGACCAAATCAAACAACTAGCTCATGGCAGAGCCACATCTTAACCCAAAAAAAGGGAACAAAGAATCAAATAATTGAAGTATTTCCAAAAGGTACCCTCAGCACAATCCTATGATCAGCAGGGGCTTTCATCACCTTTTTTTCTTTGCCTGGATTTCCTGCTGATTCCAATTTTTAGCAAGCAAATATGAGGAGCAGCAGACAAACTGTATTTTAAAAACTACAGTTAGATAGAAGCAAGAAGGTTCAGAGTGCTATTGCACAGTAAGGTGACTACAGGTAACAATGATCTGTATGTTTCAAAAAGCTATTTTGAAAATTTTTGCCATAAAGAAATAATAAATGAGATAGTTATGTTTAATTTGATTTAAACATTATACAGTGTATATGTACTGCAATATCAAGTGGTATTCATTAATATATGTATACGTTTGTTTTTAGTATCACTTAAAAATAAATTTAATTAAAGTATATATACATATTTTAATTGGCAGACACATTCTTAGGCTAACCTGGAATAACAACAAACTCAGTTTATAACCATACATTTTCCTGAGTAAAAGTGTTATCTAATGGCTGCCACAGCTGCCTCCAAGGACACATGCAGGACTCTGGTTTTACACCAGTTATAACACTTACCTGCAGTAGTGACTGGGATATATCTGCATTCTCTGGACTGTCAAAATGGAGGAGCTGGGAGCCAAACCCATAGAAATAGGGTCCCAATTTGTGGAGGTCCACAACATTGGCATCTGCACTGAACACAGTCCTCCAACCCTCTTGGTAGATCTTGGGAAGTTCCACAGAGAGAATGCGCCTCTTGTTGTCAAAAAGTCCTTTTGCCAACCACAAGGGGAGTTCAAGTTTTGAGCCCTGCACCAGACAAGAATATAGATTTAAAAAGCAGACAAATATTCAGTAAATGCATGTGACAGAAAGGAAACATATAAGCTGCTCAATACTTTCTCTTCTCTTTAGGGGAATGACTCTCCATTCAGGAGACCTGGTGGTGACCTGAAGAAATGAACTATGTGGACTAAAAGTTTTGTTTATTTATTTATTTATTAAATTTGATTTTTAAAAACTGACATATAAAATATAACCATTTAATCTAGACTTTAAAAATATACATTCATTACCATTATCTACAGTTACTCCACTATCTTTGCCAGTACACCAAAACTTCTTATTCTTAACTCTAATTTAGACCAATCTCTCTCCTCCTACTGTCCCCAGCCTCTGGTAACCATCATTCTGTTCTCAATTTCTGAGATCAATTTGGGGCACAGTCTTAGCTCATGATGGAATGGAGAGAGAAAACAGATTTATAAAATAAAAACAGGGCCAACAACAAAAATGTTACATAGGGGAAGTTTTATAACACAAATAAAAAACTTTATTGTAGATGCCTCAGAGGTAATAATAAATATTCTGACTCTCTTTGAATGGTCAATATCTATTACACACTTGCTATTTACACACTTGCCAGCCATGTGCTAAGTACCACCCAGAGCAGATAGAAAATAGGATCAGCCTGAGCTTAGACAGAAGTTGTACACCGCAGCTCCAGAAAGACAGAGAAGGCAAGTGTTTCTGTATTTTTCAAAACTGATAAACAAGACTGGGGGTCATGATGGACTGGAACTTAAGAGAAATCTCCAAAAAATATCAAAGGCAACATAACTGGATTAAAGAAAGCAGCACAAGCATAACCATCTCATGAGGGAAAACTGCAAATAAGTGGGAGCAGCTTTGCAGGAGTGGATGGTATAGGAGGAGCTTCTGACAAACTTCAGAGAGCTGCAGGGAGAACATTGAGTTCAAGGGCCACTGCAGCAGCTGGGACTTTAGGGGCCAAAATTCGAAAAAGGGAAAAGAGTAATCCCAATTATGGGAACCAAATACCAGAATAATTAGACACTGATTTTAAAATAAATGTAAAAAGCCAAACTGAAGACCTCAAAATGTAGCTAAGTTGTAGAGTGCTTGCCTAGCATGTGCAAGGGCCTGGGTTTAATACCCAGCACCACAAAAACAAAACAAAACAAAACAAAACAACAATAGTTAAATCAAGAAGTTGATAGATTCTGGCAAACCATATTTCACATAGATGAAGAGAATATCATAAGCTGGAAAAAAGCCAGTAGAAAATGTGTAGACTAAGGCATGGAAAAGAATAAAGAACACAACAGAATATAATGGGGAGGGGTTATAATACATACATAATTTACATCCCAGGAAGTCAGGGAGGATAGATTAAGGTAAAAGAAACATTTAAAGAGATAATGGCCATGAATTAAAGACATATCAAACCACAGATTTAATGAACAAGTAGGACAAATGCAAATGAAACCACAAGTAAGGCACATCTCACTCAAATTGCTGAAAACCAAAACTATAAAAGCAGTTAGTTGGGTGGAGGGAAGAATATGCTGCTTTTAAAGAATGGTTGTAGCCGAATTCTCAACAGAAACTACAGAATCAAAATCAAAACAAAAATAGACAAAAGAGAAATGAAGTGACATTTTAAAAGCAAAAGTGAGCCGGGCATGGTGGCACACATCTGTAATCCCAATGTGCAAGAGGACTGCCATGAGTTTGAGGCCAGCCTAGGCTACACAGTGAGTTCAAGTCTAGGCGATAGTGATGCCCTCCGCACGATACCGATACCACAATACCATGTCTCTGCAAAGGATCTCCTTCACCTCTCTCTCTCCAGAAGAGAAAACAGGAAGTCCCTGGTGCAGAGCCCCAGTTCCTACTTTGTGGATGTAGAATACCCACATTTCCCCATGGTTGTTAGCCATGCACAAATAGTAGTTTTGCGTGGTGGCTGCTCCACTGTCCTCTGCCAGCCTACAGAAGGAAAAGCAAGGCCTACTGAAGGAAGCAGCACTCACAATACTCTCAGTCAAGATGGGTGGGAAGCCATCCTAATAAATACATTCTGGATTTAAAAAAAGGAGAGGTGAAACAAAGACATTTTCAGAGAGACAGTGGTCTTAGCTGGTATCTAGGAATTGGATTTGGGGAGAGTTCCTACCAGTCTCATGAGTGATTACAGCATTTCACTGTGCCTAGACAGTTTGTAGAAACAATGTGATATATATAAACACTTGCTTTTATGCACTGGGCAGAGAGTACTTTCCCTATAAAACCTGGGCACTGAGTCTTTAACAAGCGTCTCTGCTAGACTCAAAGCGGCTTATACTATATGCCCAGTCTTCTCCAGACTTCTATCTGATACATCCTTTTCCTTGGTTGATTCTGCTTTGTATCCTGTTGCTGTAACAAATCCTAACCATGAAGCCCACCCTATGCTGAGTCCTGTGAGTCCTCTTAGTGAATCTTCAAATGTGAGGGTGATCTTGGGGACCTCTGTCACAGACAGAAATTGAGAATTTATCACCAGAAGACCCTGAGTAAGAAAATTCTGAAAAGAAAGTGAAAATGATTCCAGAAAGAAATATGGAAATGCAAGAAGAAAACAGCATAATGTGAAGAATAAATAAGTGGACAAGCAGAATAATAATGTTTTAGAGTGTTATGAGTCAAATTAGACTATATGAAAATAATGCAAGAGAGAGAGGAGCTAAAGTGTTTCCTGATCCTGATATTGTCTGTGAAGTATTAATTTGGGTAACATTCTTATTAATAAAAATATTATGTAATAGTTGACGTAGTTACTAAATAGAATATATAACTAAATAAATGAAAAGGTAAATAGGTAATAAACTTGATTAATCCAAAAGGAGTCAAAGAAAGAAAAAAGAAAAAAAGGAAAAAAATCTGAAACAGATGGGAAACAAAGAAAATAAACAGAAGCGTATGAATAATCAAACAGAAGTGTATTAAATACACAGATTAAAAATTGTCCAAGTAGGGGCCAAGGATATAGCTCAGAAGCACAGCACTTGCCTGGCAAGTGCAAGGTCATGAGTTCAATCCCCAGGACCAAAAAAAAAAAAACTATACCAAAACAAAACAAAAAACCCCAACTGCACCCAAAGTGGTCAAACTGAAAAACAAAACAACTATATGATATTTAAAAGAGATATATCTTAAACAGAAAGACATAGAAAAATTAAAAATAGGATAGAAAAAGTGTCATGCAAACACTAGTCAAAAGGAAGAAGCATCATCAGACACGAAGGGGGGGGGCATTTGATACTAAGGTGGTCATTATACCCACAAGGAAAATGTATAAATCTGTTATTACACCGACAGAAGTACAAAGAGAAACAGACAAATCTATAATTATAGTGGAAGACTTTAAGTAGAAAGCAGTTAAAAAAAAAAAGATCAGTAAGAACACAGAAAATCTCAACAAAAGCAAACTTGATCTGACTTACATACTTTACTTTGTTTTTTTTGGTACCATGGATTGAATTCACAACCTTGCGCTTGCTAGGCAGGCACTTATGCCACTGAGCTAAATTCCCAGCCCCTATAGTATCATACTTTACTGCACACCATGACTCCACAAAATGCATCTTTCCAAGTGTGTACACAATGATTAAACTGATCTTATACAGAGGCGTAAAGTAAATTTTACCAACTTGGGTGATCATTCAGACTGTTTCTGGCCACAGTAGGATTAAACTAGGATCAAAACCAAAAAAGATAAATAGCAAAGTCCCAAAATGTGTGGAATGAAGCATTAGTCTTCTAAATCACAACTCGTGAATCAAGGAAAAATTACAATGGCAAAGAGAAAATACTGAGTTCACTAATAATGAAAAATATGAGTCAAAACTTGAACTCATTAATTAAGAACTTAAGGACCTAGAAAACAAAGATACATTTAGATCTACTGTTGTCAGAAAAAAAAAAAAAGAAAGAAAACAAAGATACAAAACAGAATATGGACTGAGCCATAGTTCTTTCAAGAAAACAATAAAATTGACAAACTCTTATCAAAACTAATGAAGAAAGAGCAGAATGTATTAATGTCAAAAATTAAAAATAAAAACCAAGGGCAGGGAGTACAGCTCAGGGTGCAGTGACTGCCTGGCAAGCACAAGGTCCTGAGTTTGATTCCTGGTACACACACACAATAAAGTAAAATAAAAATCAGGATACTAGTATAATGCTACATGGAAATGATCATAAAGGGATATTTTGAACAAAGTTATAATACATTTGAAAACTTTGATAAAATGGTCAACTTTCTAGAACATTCCCCCACATACCAACATCTGATCATCGAAAATACAAATTCTCGTATATTTAAGAATGAAATTAAATGTCATAAAAAAATTTTGTATGCACTTTTGCAAAAGGCAGGGGACCAAAAGATGAAGGAAGAGTGGCGGGAGAATGGGACGAAAAAGAAGCTGTTATATACCTCTCCATGATGAATGTAATCATCATGTACTGCAAGTGTGTACTATTAAGATAAAAACGACGTAAAATTTAAAAGGCAAATAAAGCTTTCCTATGCACAATTATTCCAGATTTTCGTGTAGCCACTTTGCCCTCCAGGATGCAGTGTATGACTTCCTGCTCCTTCAGTGTGGCAGTGTGTGAGCTTTCCTTCCGAAGTGCACCACGTGAAGAGGCATATCAAAGGTTAACTTTACAGTGGAGAAACTAACAAATACCAGCCAATTAGTCAAGGGTCAAATCAACACGATGGTCCTGGAACAAACTTGTAATTGAAGCCACGTTGCCCTTGGTTCGAATCCCAGTTCAGGGTTTACCATGGGACGCCGGCCAAGACACTCCACCTTTCGGTGGGATTCACAATACCTACTCACGGGGCTGTGGAAGAACTCAGGGGGTCAAAGACGGAGAAGCTTTCACCTCCACGCCACTCGCGAGGGCACGAACGTCATCGCGGCGCAGGGACGGACACGGCATTTCGCAGTTCCCAGCGCTAGCGCTGGGAGCGCGGACAGAACTCAAGGTTAGCTTAAGGCAAACGCGAAGAGAACCCCGATCCGGAGGTATTCGGCTGAGCCGGTTTCCGTTCCAACACGGGCAGGGGGAAGATAGTGGACAGAGATGAATTAGCGGTTTCACCAAAGAAACCTACGTTGGAGGGAGCCCGATGAGGTCAAGGCCTGCGGGACGCCGACCCCCGAACCCTAAAAATGCGAGGCCGAGGCCCACCTGCGGCAGCGATTGGTCCGGCCCGGCGCCCGCACCCCACTCCGGGAAGAAGGTGCCCAGGCGTGGCATGGGCGTCTCTGTGCGCACTGGCAGCTTCTCGTGGGACATCAAGATGTCGTCCAAGGAGAGAAAGTTCTCCTCTGGTCCCAGGGCGCCCGATTCCACCCGGAAATAAGCCTCGGACATGGAAGCGACCCGAGCTCCTCCGTCTCCTTTCGTGTGATTTGAGTGGAACCTGAAGGAGCGTGAGGCTGAGCAGGATCCTCAGAGTCTACGAGCGAGCTGAGGCTGCCCGGCCGAGTGGAAACTCATTTTCCCGCGCTTTGGGCTAGGCCAGACTCGAGCAGTCGATCGGAGTGGGCCCGCCATTGGCCAGGCAGAAGCAATCAACAAAGTCTGTGGATGGGGTCCTGGGAGAAAGCTGGGCTGGGTGCGTCCGCCGGAAGTTCCCCTCTTTCTTCCTGCAGCTCCGGGTGGGAACTTTATCTGGAAGTTGAACCCCTTTTGGGGCTGCAGTGTCGTTTGTACCAGAATATGTTCATTTGGTCCTTTAAATGTTTATATGAAATTGAAAATGTTTTACAACACATTTGATACTCAAATGAACGCATTATATACCATCTGTTCCAAGCCTCAATAAATATCTCTTCCACCCAGTTCTTCTATATTGACAGTGTCTCTTTTGTGACATCATCGCAATATAGCTACAATCGGCAGTCCATATTACATTGGAGTTGAGGCACAGGTTGCTCTTGTCCAGCTGTAATCCAAATTAGGAATTTATGTATTTTAGTATAAGGCAGTCTTGATTAAGAAGACACCCCTTTTGCTGAGTTCATTTTCAGATCAGATATTATTCACAAAACTCTATGCAATACTCTATCTACACTTGAATCCTCAAATAGGCACATTTTGAGCTTTCTTGGTACCATAAGCCCCAAGGTATGCTGAATTTAGGAGGAAAAATCTGGCCCAAAACTAGGATCCTCTTCGGCCCCAACACTGATATTGCCTTCTATATTTTATGATGCTTTGACATTATGGGGCTTCAGGGATGCAAAAAGGATTTGTCTCTCCAGAGTTAGGTAACTCATAGAGATAGCAAACACTAGCCTCTGCTAACATGTCTTTGTTATACAACTATGTTGACGTAATCCCAGATCCAGAATCATTTCCTGTATCTAATTCACAAACCACATTAATATTTCTCCTCCCCTAAATCACTGTAGTAAGCCAACCCAGGTCCCAGTATGGGACAACTGGAGAGGCACTCCTGTACTCCAGAGCCCACTGATGTTTTTAAACAATAAAGTCCCAAGCTTGGTCAAGCTTGTCTTCTTGCCTCCCCATTTCTTCCCATGGAACTCATAACAAAGAGTCTGTGCCATGCTTCCCCTTACTTCCTGTTCTCTGCATGGACCCTGGCACTTCCCCCATGTGGCCTTGTGTAGTGTATCATGCTCCTTTCTGAGAACTGCGAGTAACAAAACTTCTTTTCCTGGCATTGGCTACTCTGTTGTCACTCAGTCACCTCTATGCATTAAATCTTGGATAGAATCAAAACAAGATGCCTTAAGGGGTTGGCCAAATAGTGGAAAGCTTTGGTATTATTCATGGAGTTTAGATTATTCTATAGAAAATGGGAGAATAAGAGAAAACTAAAGCCCAGAAGAAGCAAATGACTTATCAAAGTCACACAGCAGTTTGACAGCAAATTCAAAACTTGGAACAATACAATTCACCCTTTCCATGAGCTGGTGGAAGCATACAGGTCCCAGGAGGAGAAACAAGAGGTGGGAGACAAGATCCCCCTCCCTTGTGGGCAGCTGGCCAATTTGGAGGAACACAGATTGAGTTGTTAGCAACTGAGGTTCAAAAACAATGCTTCTATTGCTTGATTGACTTTGTGGGCTGAAGGCAGGTAGTCTGAACATCTATTGAGAGGATGACAACATGCAATGTGGCAAATATAGGGGATTTCCTACTGTCTTATTTTTGAAATCCAGTAGTCTTTTCACTGTTTTGCTTTGTTCTGTTTTATTGTTTTGTTTTATTCAGTGTTATGTTTTGGTTGGTTTTATTCTGTTTTGTTTGATTTTATTATGTCTGATGGTATGGGCAGAGATTTTTGAAGGTGACAAGAGGCTCTATGGTAGCCATTGTTGATTTCCCATTATTTTGTTTTGAAGTACTGTATCAATTTCACTGTTTTGTTTTGATTGGCTTTATTCTGTTTGGTTTTATTCTCTTTAAAATAAAATTTTAAAAAAGAAAATAGAAGAATTGTATGATTTTTGACCAAGTAACAACGTACATCTGAGCTTTAAGAAGATAAAGCTGGCAGTGATGGGAAGAAGGGATTAGACGCTGAGAAGCCAGCTTGGATGATCTCAGCGGCAGTATTGGCCAACTAAATGGATGTAGGAAGTAAGGGATAGATAGAGTTAACGATTCAAGTTGTGAGCCTGGTTGACCAGATGAATGGACATGTCACAATATACACTGTACACAAGAACAGAGGCATATGAGGCAAAGGATGCATTCAGCCTGGGAAACACTGTATATAGAGGATACTAGATAGAAAATCTGCAGCCCAGTGAAGAAACCCTTCTGAAAGCTTTAGAGTTAGGAGAAATCCACTTGGAGGTAATAGCAATAGGATTTGCCCATCCCTCTTAAGCATATTTTAAGCATTTAGTTTACTATGTAATCCAATATAAAAGAAAACATAATCTATGTTGATAATATAGAATTTCCCTGATGAAATGGAATGTATGATAGTATAGTTCAGGGGATATATATATATGTTAATTTGTTTAATTGAAAGAAATACCAGTTGATTCCTGAGTGCACTTTTTATGTGGAATCAAAATAGATGTTTAATGAACTATCTATGTCAAAGAAAGGCTTTATTTTTGAACAAAGACTAGAATATTTGTTCTGATTGCAAATACCAGTGTTATGTTAGTACTAAAGTAAAAAGTCAGCACTTAAAATAGAATTAGGTGGCCTTGTTTTTCTTATTTAATTTTTGGCTCATCACAAAACTAATCTTTTTTTATATTTTACTCTATTTAATCTCTCCTCTCCTAGAACTAATAACTAAATACCAGAATAGGTGAAATTAGTAAAAATTTGAGTTTATGGTGCTAAACTGCATTTATGCATTTGACCAAAGTGGCCCATGGTTTATCAAGTGTGGATCTGTCTATAGCTTAACTCCTAAGCACCAGAAATGCTTCTCTTCTCTAAGAAAGATATGTTCCTTGCCCCTAACCAACTAGTAAATGTGTCAGAATTAACCAAACAGAATTTCAACATACTAATAATATTCAGAGTATATTTGGTATATTTACAATATAGAATTTCAGTGCTGTATTTTGACAGGTATCTTCTAGATTCCTAAAAAAGTAATTTTCGATGCTATTAGTTCAAGATTGCACAATCATAGAATGGCAACATTTTAGAACATAGACAAAGTAAGTGTTTTCATGACAAGGACAGGAACTACAGTATCTTTTGTCACTTAGAGGTCAACTTTAGCAGCAGACACAGCTTTAGATATGCAAAACCACAAACAGGTTTACAGTTTAAAGCCTTAAATTTGTTTTTTGTCTTTGTAGTGCTAGGAGTTGAACCCAGGGCCTCATGAAGCCTAAGCAAGTGCTCTTTTCCTGAATACCGGTGCTAACTTTCCTTCACTGATTGGCGAAGTTGTGATACAAGTGACAGGAACCCTCATCTGAGGGGGAAGGAGAACTTTCAGGGTGAGGGTGAGAGGAAAAACTGTACTGGACTCCAACATGGAAGTTTTGGGGTTTTCCTTGATCCTCTTTCCTATCCTTATATTCCATAACTCTACCTGCACAGTTCGTTTATTTAATTCATTAATTTAATTTAAATTTTTTGTCTTTTGAGTCAGTGTTTCACCATGCAGTTCAGGCTGACCTTGAACTCGCTTTGTAGTTCAGGCTGGCCTCAGACTCCCAGCAATCCCTTGCCTCAGCCTGCTGGGTGCTGGGATTACAGCGGTGTGCCACCACGCCCAGCCTCTGCACAGTCTTGTTAGAATCTGATCAGTTCTCATTACGCTAGTCTAATCCAGCATCTCTTGCTTGCACTTTTGCCCCTGCTGGCTTCCTGTTGCCTTGCTTCTGCCCATGACCTCCATCTTTCTCCTTCTACTCTCCAGGCGAGCTTACTCCTCAAGGGTTTGTACTGTCTGTTCCACTCTCTGGACTTTTTGGTCTTAGAGTTCTATAGCACTTGTCCCTTTCAGATTTGTACGCAAAAGTTACTATCTGAAGGAGGCTGTATGGGTCTAAAAATTGTAACTATTGCCCACTCACACTTGATAGCCCTTTGCTGTGCTTTGATAGAGTTCCCAAACGTAGTGTGTTGGAGAATTAACACCTGGTGTAATAGGTTGGGAGGTACGGCCTAATGGGAGATGTGTAGGCCAAGATTCAAGAAAGGCTGAAAAGGCCTTTCAGGAGTGGGTGCTGTTTTTCCGTTCTTCCATTTAGTGTGGAAGAAGAATTCATCCAGTCTTCCAGACCTGCCTTTTACCACACAAGGTTGAGATGAGTCCTCATCAGTTCCTTGACGGTGGATTCCTAGTCTCCAGAACTATGAGAAAGTAAATTTCTGTTCTTTATGAACTACCATGTCTGTGATACTCTCTTATAGTAGGACAAAACAGGCCAGGATGCCCATTTTTTTCCCCTCAGCACCAATCACTCTAATGTTCCATATATTTTATGTCTACTATGCTTTTCATCTGTTTCCTCTGCCAGAACAATAGCTCCACGAGGATGGGGTATTTTCTAGCCTTTTATCCCCCACTGTTGTATGCCTACGGCTTAGTGTGTGTTAAATACTTCATAGTCTATGTTAAATGCTTCATAATTTTTGTTGAATTAATTAGTGGCTCTTTATTTATAGCAGTGATATTAAATTTCCTTTAACACATCAAATAAAAACAATGAGTCAACTTTAAGTAAATAATTGTCCAGGTGGTATGTAGCTATTATAACAGTTACAAACTGTAACAATGAAACCCTGAATTAAAGTCATGAAAAATGATTTATCAGGGAACAGACTAAATTACATGTAATTGTTTAAATCCACAAGTTTAAATCCTTAATGTTACTGTGAAAGCTCATTAGTTTAGATTTGTTGAAGTTTTGATACAATGGTACTTACTTTTTCATCAACTGTAAAAAATGAAACACTTAAGCAAATAGAGTGAATGCATTTTAAATTGGCTTAGTTTTCCACCTATGAAATATCATCTCTAGCAGCCATTTCTCCTCAGTAACTCTGGAACTTTCAGAATTGAACAGACCTAGATGCAGTCCAGTTTCCACCACTTTAATTGGCCTTGTGGCCTCTGGTGATTTGCCTCTTGGAAGCTTTGACCTCTGTGAGAGATATTTGTGTGTGTGTGGGGGGGGTACCGGGAATCGAACGCAGGACCTCATGCTTGCCAGGCAGGCACTATGCCGCTGAGCTATATCCGCAGCA